AAACTTCGATATTTGTGAGTTCTTCAATAATAGCGCCACCAAAAGTTATATGATGAGCATAAAAAAAAAGTTCAGACGCGTTAGGGGTGAAAAGGAATCTACATATTCTAATATAATTAATGAACAACCGTGGCTTAATTCACGTAACGATTTTCAAACTTGGAAAATAATCAAATATGATGACATTTGTCCAATATTTGAATTAATGGGTGGTAAACTGCGAGAACAAGTTTTAATTGCTTTAGATCAGAGAATTTTAGCAGGTAAATAAAAATATTTATTACTTGATTCAATTTAATAAATAAATATTATATATTAAATAATAGCGGATGTGAAACAATAGTATGCAATCTTAATGAAGAAGATCCATCTCGTTTTGAACTAAATGAAGTATTCAGAAAATTGAAAAGCTCGAAAATAATTACTTCAATAATGAACCAAAAACATAGAAACATATTTTTTATACGTGTAGAATACTTAGATAAAGATACACCAGAAATTTTTGTTCATAGTATTCTAGTGAAAAAAAAAACCGAAAAAAAAACAACAAAAAATTTCAATCGGGTGGATTATTGTGGATGTATTTCGATAATACAGATGTAATACTCAAAAGTGGTAAATATCTTGTTTCGAAAAAAAGAAACTCGCCTTGTAACTGAAAGTCTAGGTTATGAACGTAAGGAGCTTTCAAATAGTTGCATATTATGTACTGTGCGTGTGTAATTGAAGCTACAGAAAAACTGTCTCAAACCGGAAAGATAAATCAACCACGCAAGCTATTCAACATAATCTATATAATCCATACAAATCAAGGTTAATTTTTGGTACGCATTTTGATACATGTGAAAACTCTGCATGTATATCTACTCCTAATGATAATGCCAAAAATAATGTAAATGATCTCATGCCTAGATTGAAATTATTTTCTAGGTAAGCAGAACCTTTTCACATTTAATTAACATTATGTTATTATATTTCTAATTTTATTTATATAGTACTGTTGACACATGCGTTAGCAAAGGTAACTCTGGTCAGATTAGTATTAAATGGGAAGATTTGGATAATACCTCTGTATCTCTTGTTAACTCGTTTGGTAAAAATTGTTCAAACGTTCAATTGTATCATGGATTTCTCAATGTAGATGTAGGTTCTAAGAAAGTTACTGAGAATTCTGTGACCCCTATATGGGTTTCTCAATGTAGATAATGTAGATGTGAATCTTGTAGAAGTTATTTATGGTCTATTGAATTCAAAACCCCTAAAAAAAAGACAAGAAAATAGCCTATCTGGTAGTTCAATAAATAATCTTTTTAATTATACACTAAATACGCAACATTAATAAACATTTTCAGCATTTACGTTAGTCCATAAATTCGTTGGTTAATAAATTGTAGTTTCTAGTTTTCAAAATCAAAACAATGAAGCGAAAACTTAAGTTTGAAATTATAAGCACTTCGTACATTTAGTTTCAAACATTCAAGCAACTTTGTAAACAGTGCAAGAAATCTAAGCTTGAAGTTTTGGCACTTTGCGCACCTAGGTTTAACACAAATAAAAAAAATCCAGGTAATATGATATTTAACAATGAATACGTTGTGTGTGAAATTAGAATGGATTTAAAATAGTTACGTCAGATTGAAATGCGTAAGATTAAATAGCATAAAGGAAAACCCAAACTTCGGGTTTTTAAATTTACAGTTTATCGGAACTCAAATTTTGTGGTTGGAACGGAAAAATAATCACACCAATAATCTAATGAATCCCTTGTCGTTTCATATGTTTCCATATACTATTATTAAGCATAACAATATAATGTGTTGCTAAAAAGAATTACAGTCAAACCTCCCTAAATGCAATTCGTAGGGACCAACCTTTTATTAGTTTGTATTTAGAGAACGATAAGAAAAATTGCATTTATAGGAGAGGAAGTTGTATTTAGAGAGGTCTGAATGTATCAAAAGTTTGGTTCCTACGAATTGCACTTAGGGAGGTTTGACTGTTTTGCAAATCGATTTAAATTCGGTTTAAACTCAATCCAATTCGGTTTTTGAATTCCAACCGGTTCCAACCTCTACATGCAAATACAGTCCATTTGAGTGATGCACAGCTGTGCATCACTCATTTTTATACATAAAGAAATAATTATCTTCAATGTGTTAATTTACGAATTATCATCTATATAGAGAGATTGAAATTTTAGGTTTCTACACCATACGTACGTAAGTACGTATTTTCGACCAAGATTAGTACATACAAAAAATTATGGAAAACCCACCAAAAGAATGGCTTGAAAAAGCAATTGCTGATGGGCATATTAATTATCTCGAATATAATGAATTTACAAACCCAGTTGTGATTGGCGTTGGAGGTTTTGGAAAGGTTTTTAAATACGAGTGGAAAGACAGTGAATTAACAGTTGCTTTTAAATGTCTTAAAGTTGATACAAGTATAGATGAAAAACTCATTAAAGATTTTATTAATGAGGTATTATTTTTAATAGCATACTACTACTTAGAATAATAAATTCATATAATTTATACAATTAGCTTAAACTATTACGAAGAGTTAGTTATCATCCAAACGTTATCATGTTCTACGGAATCACTAAAGGTAAACAAGCGATTTATAATTTTTGAAGGTATCAAACAATAGCCATGTCAAATAAAAATATTTATCAAATCGAATATATAGATAGCAATGGAGATTATAACATGATTTTACAATATGCTAATGAAGGAACTTTACGAGAATACCTAAAAGCAAATTTTACAAACTTACAATGGACTGATAAGCTACTTATTGCTAAGAAAATAGCACTTGGACTTTTATTTTTGCACAATAATAATATTGTTCATAGGGACCTTGTAAGTACTACATATGAGTGCCGTCAAAAGAAAACCTGTCATCGGACTTTCAATTGTACAGTTAGCAGTCTATGGAAAATCTATCATGACGATAGACTACTAACTATACATAAAATATAATTGAAAGTCCGATGACAGGTTTTCTTTTGACGGCACTCATATGAATGCTACCAAGGGAAAACCTGTTATCAGGCTTTCAATTATATTTTGTACCCAGTTTGTTTCCTAAGTGTCGTCTAGAGAAAATCTATTATCAGGCTTTCAATTCTATTTTGTGACGACTCTTCACAAAATATAATTGAAAACCCGATGATAGATTCTCCATAAACGGCACCCATAGAACGAACTAGACACAAAATATATTTGAAAGTCCGGTGATAGGTTTCCCTTGGCAGCACTCATATATTACTGAAGTTTTATATTTATTAATTCACTAATACTTTAATAATTTAGCATTCGAAAAACATCTTAATTCATCAAAGACATCCAA